CACGGCCGCCACCACGGCCGTCTTCTTGATTGTCGTCAACTTCGCACGTCCGTCGCCGTTGCCGCCCTCCATCAGCACGTGTGTTGCAATGCTCATGAACCACGAAAATACAACAGCCTACAAACTTGCCACGACCACGGTAAGCTCAACGCCAAGTCCCCGACGACGTTCCCCACGTGTGCTCGACAACCTCGACTCAACATATAGGCGCGGTGGCAGGAGGAGGCAATGGCGATGGACCTTCGCGGGGCGCTCACAAATTTCTGACGACGTACGAGGACTCCACTGCACCACGGCAAATGCTCGTTTCCACCGTCACAGATATGGACGCCACCTGCCCCGCGTCGCTGTTGTCACGTTCGAACGGGGAGGTTCATTGCTTTTTAAGGGTTTTTTTTTTTCCCGTCGCAAGTGTCTTTCAAAATGTCCCACGTTTGGCAGCTGGACTGACAGGACTGTGACGCCCAACCTCACGCCCAGTGCGACTTCCTGGTCGAAGTGATGGTGGGTCTGGAAGTGCGAAAAAAGGGGTGTGCCAAGGATTTTAGGAAAATGGGGGTGGAGTCCCATGTTGGAACTGAGATCTCCTGTGTCAAGTTTCAGGGATATGAATGCAAGTGGGTACGCCGAGGATGGGGTTGTGTTTTAGGCCTCTGGGAACGGGGTGGTCACCTTCGTTGGTCCAGTCACCTGGGGCGGATTCGCATTTTGTGTACCGCCGAGACGCTATGGCTGTCCCGCTGGTACAACACCCGTCGTCGACGGGTTTCGCAGATCTCAGAATCAGACGCGACCGGTCTCAGCCGAAGGCTGTGGTCTCGTCGTTCGGCTTCCGAGCGGGTTCACCGGATGAATCCTGATGCTCGGTAGGCGTTGTCTTATAGGCACTCGGAACACTGAGGTTGTGGCTAGCAGCGGGCGAGTGCTCGCCAGGGGGCAATCGTCAGGCAATGGAAGGGTAAGAGGCAGTGATACGGAGGGAACTCGGTTTCCGAGTCCAGGGTAACAATGCCCGGCTCAACAATGATCGGACACATGTATGGGTTGGGGTAGTCGAGGAAATGGGGAATACACTCTAAGGCCTGCCCAATATCCCACTCGCAGATGCGTTCGGTTCTTGTTGGGTATGGAAACTCTCGGAGCACAGTCCTCGAACGTGCAGAAAAACATGTGCGTTCCTAATATTCTCGGAACTCACGATCCCTCAGGCACTCACGGTCAGTAATCCAAGAGGAACATGTTATTCGTTAAAATAGGACATTATACTGTGTCCTCTTTTCAACGAATTCATTTGTGGCTGCAGCCTAAGCAACGTAGCCATGCCCATCCAGGGCTTAACCATATGCAGAAGAGTGTTGAGATCCGCACTTGTGAAACTTTATAACTAAAATCCCAAATACGGAAGTGTGTAGAGACCCACACATGTTAGGCACGCCACCCGCGAACCCTTTGCGGAAGTGTGTTGGGATCCTTACTTGTTGAACTTCAAGAACGTGCTGGTGATCCTGCGGGGAAGTGTGTTGGGATCCATACTACTCAAACTTTATAAACGAATAACGAATGGCACGCCACACAGGGAACCCTGTGCGGAAGTGTGTCGGGATCCTTACTTGTCAAACTTCAATTTCATAAAATTTAATGTGATGAAAGATATTATATTGTGACACTGTCCTCTTTCTCACGAAATCGTTTTTCACTGCAGTGTTTCCACATAGGGGTGCACATCCACTCGGCCCAAATGCGAAAGTTTGCTAACATCCACAGTTGTTGAACTTTGTAAGTAAAATTAGCAATGTAATCAAATTGAATTGGAGAGACTCATTATAATTCTTTCGGTTATCCCAAAGTTACACTCGGCCCAGGTTCATGGTCTTGCTGAAGACGGTTGTTTAGATGTATGATGAGATCCGGACTTGTTTAGAAGACTTGTAACCCTGACAATGGGCGGGAGTGTGCCGAGATCCACACTTGTTAAACTCAAAGCTTACGTATGTGATGAGCAAGGTGTCATGATCGAACCGTTGTTGGTCAACACATCAAATTTTCGTTTACCAGGTTAGCCTTAAGTTATGCAAGCACACCCATCGTCTCAACCGAGACGATTGTTTGGATGTTGAAGAGATTCAGACTTCCGCATAAAGGCACGGTCATCATTTCGCCCGACATGAGGGCACTGAGGAACACACTTGTTTACAGTTGTGATGGGCAAGGTGTATTTTAATAAACACTTTTTTTCGAATTTTCTATGCACAAGTGTAGAACTTAAAATTGTGCTCATTCACGATGAATATCCGCAGTTTAAATGGTATTGCAGAAGGTTTGGGCATCCACTGGCCACTTTCACATAAGATGACATTTCTCATGCATCCACCAATCATTTTCAAAATCATGTTTACACTTCCCTTTTGAAACATGGAACAGGATACTTGTAAAGAAACAGAATTCGAAACATGGAACGTAACGTATGGCATGTTCCGCTGCATTAGAAACGACTGCGACGTGACAGAGATCACAAAGCCCATACATGACGCAGGACATGCAATGAGCTTGTTGTAGACAACCCAAACTCGGAACGACAAAAGAAAGCAATGTCTTGGGCAGAAGGACAGTTGAAAATGTCTCCATGCTTAAGAAAAGAATTCAATGAACAACAAATGGAACACCTTTAGAAAAGAGTTTCCAAGTCAATGAAATCCATCAAAAACAACGATGTTGTAAGAAACATGATGGTAATTGTCGTGTAAAAAGCGGAATATCTTTAGAAGATAATGTCTCGATTTACAGAATTCAATGAACAACAAATGAAACACCTTAAGAAAAAAGTTGTAGTCAATCAAATCCATCAAAGACAACGATGTTCTAAGATACATGATGCTAATTGTCGTCTAAGAAGTGGAATATCTTTATAAGAGAACTGGAAAGGCGGTCGATCTCCACGTTGCAACAACGTCGCATACATCAACATGAACACCCCACAGCTTGCTCCATCCACTTGTCTCGGAACTCCATCCACCACAACATTTTGCACTATCGACTTCCAACTCCTACCCGACCGTCTATGTGATGTTTGACGTTCCAAATACTGCACAATCAACCTGAAAACAGAAAGGTAAAAACTAGAATCAGATACAACGTGAGGAAAATAATAAAAAATTTCGAGAACATCATCTCTCATGTTGACGGAAAGGAGGATTCAGTGATCATCATCTTTGTGGACAGGAACGAAGACAATATCGTAACGAAGCAAATCTACGTTTCTAGCCCACCTCCGCACCCCAYCRTGTCYTTGAAGTCGCAGTTTACTGAAGAAGAACGAATTAAAGCTGAAGACTTGAAGGCCCGACGAGATGTCACGTGACCCACATGCGGTTGACCCCAACAACGCCATATAGAAATTGACCACCTCATCATTCACCCTGCCGTTGACATGCAGCAGGGTGAGGACATCTTTTGCTGCAGTCCGAAATTGGCCATCGCCCAGTATAGAGAGAACAGTGTGAGACGGCACCGAGCCTCGTCCCCGACAAGGAGAAGATAGCTTTCAAAAACAAAACAAAAAAAATGTTCATTCTGTTCTAGCCTTGGCACTGGCCGCTTGTAATAAAAAGCCCTCCAGCAGCCGAGCTCAGTAGATAAGGCACGCAAGTGGCATTCATCAGGTCTTGGGTTCACTGTACCTTTCTGGGCAAGCTTGGTGCTAGGTCATGTCATCCAAAACCCGCAAGCTCAGAGGCGCAATTGTTGTAGCGAAACTTTTCCCGCGTGTTGCACTTGCGGCCCGCACTGCACAACATCGAGCAAAGGACACGTTGGTTAGTGAGAAACGAAGTTCAAGACATTGTCCCCTGGAGCATGACGCGTTGCTAAGTACTTCTCATACATGGCCTGACCCCTACTCATAGATCGTGGATATGTCCCTTTTTCTGGGGCAAGAAGGGAAAGATATTCCTCAATGGCAACGTTGTACTCCTTCTTCCCGATCTCGACATCAACCCCTGATGCCTTTAATATATCCTTGTGTTTTGTAGTCAACCCGGGGACTTTCTGCAATATGTACTCAGGATATTTGGAGGACCTCCGTGTTCAAGACGACCCCACCCCTGTACAACAAAAGAAAACCACCACAGGACCTCTCCGACCATAGGACCCTGATTTCGCGTGGTTATGTGCACTCAGGTGCGGTTGTGATACTGGAAAACAAAACGACTGCGACATTCTAGCTTAACACCCCCGCACTTCGCAAAGGAAAACTACCACAACTCACAGAAGCCAAAGGCCAGCAGTCCCCGAAGTTCGGACTGCGGCGGACTTTTCAACACACCAGCCCCACTGAGACTGACCACATCACGCATCGACAAAGGAAGTTCGGATCCCGGCGGACTAAAACCAACACTATTCCCGAGAAGGGAAAACCGTCAGTCCATGTACTTGGCCACTTCCTTAGCCCCTTGGCCACTTCCTCAGCCGGGGCAGATCCTTCCTTGGATGGAGTGTAAGTTTGTCGAGGAACTTTTCGCAGCCCTCGACCAGCAACCCGACCGAGTGACAGATAAGCTGACGAGATATATTAGGAAGGGCTAGTGGCTGCGGTATGGCGGCATCCGGAACTTCCCGTATCGACAGACAGTGTGGACAGTCGTCGTGTGCACAGCGCGGACTGTAATCCGACGACATCCGGACGCGCAGGCAGTGTGGCGTTCTTCACAGCTTACCAGTCTGTTTCTCTCTCCGCTCCTTCGATGGACAATTTGGCGCGGGCAAAGCGAGCACATCGAGAGCTTGACCGCCGACCCTCAAGTTTTTTGGGGACGTGACATGTTGTCGTCCCCTGACCTCGCCTTCGTCTCCGGCGGCAAGGGTGGCCGGCAGGACCAGAGACTTCGGCGGCGACGAAGCGACGACAGCTGCAACGGGAGACGTGACGTTGCCAGTTTCGTCGTTGTTAGGCGTTGTGGACGGACGGGCAGACATGTTGTGGTCGCCGAGGATACCGTCGATAACTTCGTCGATGCTTATACGCCGACTTGTTCTAGACGGGCCGATAGCGACGGATGCCTCGTCGAAGCGGTGTTGCAAGTCAACAGCAGACGTCAGTGGTCGGACTGCATAATCTTCAGGCTATCCGGAAAGGCTGCTAACGACCTGTGTCTCCATCTCTATTGTCGTGGCATCGTCGTCGACATCATCCTCGTGATGCTCTCTGTACAGTTGTCCGAACTCGTCAGACGACTCTCCAGATCCGGCATCGTCCTCACTGTGCTCCACCTCGTCGTCTCCAGATCCGACACCCTCCCTTCCTCCAAGCAAATTAAGTACCTCCGTTTCTCCCACTTCCTCCCCTTCCTCCTCTTCTTCCCCTTCTTCCTCCCCTTCTTTCTCCCCTTCTAGCGCTCCCCTCCGTTCCTCCATTTTCTCCCCTACTTCCCTTCCACGAAACTCATCCCCTTCAGCGGTACCCGTGCTGAATCCCGAGGACCGCCCTTCCGTCTCCGTGCACGCTGCCCCTCTCAACGGCACGACAATCCCTGGCCGATACCCCCCGCCCGAAGAAGTTCGGATCTCGGCGGACTTCGTCGTCTCCGTGTCGCCGGACCCTGTACCTGCAGCCTCTCGCTGCAATCCTTGCGGTCGTCGCTCCTGCTCAGGCAACACCTTTCCCATGTTTCCGTCCCGCGCCGCAATGCTGCCAATTTCGGGATCCTTGCTTGGCTCCCCCGACCCCGAGCGGCTTTGCATTCCGGACCGCTCTCGGGGCTCCTCAGCGGACGTAGTTCGGATCCCGGCAGACTTCAACTTTCCGCCGGAGCGACTGCCCAGAGCAAGCAAAGCTGCCAACGTGTCCCTCGCTGAGCCCACGAACGAAGTCGGGAGGTCGGCGGACTGTGTCGTATGATCCGGGCAGGTGCCTGTCGACGGAGGCCGGTTGACGGCGAAACTCGCCACCCCGCCGCTGCCTCCCGGTGTCATGTTGCGGTTGTGAGACCCCCTCTCCCTACTGCTCGAGATTCCTTTGCCACCCCCCGCGCCACCACCCCCATCCCCTCCACTTCCTGGTGCCCCCCCCCCGGAACTACCGTCCGGGCCACTGGGAGGGGGCACTTTCCAGTCCACCATGCCCTTCGACGGACTCGTGTCAAGGTCGTAGTAGTCCTCCGTCAATTCCAACCAGCACTTGTCCTGAAGCTCGTCGAACAGTCGATCGACTGTGGAAATGAGGGACAGGTTGCCGGGTGCAAAGGTGTCATTCTCGGCCGTCACTTTCTGGAGGACCTAAATCCTCGCGAGGTGCAGGAAGTTGGACTTCAACTCGCGCGGGAATGACGCCCATCCCGCGCCCGGGATTGCGACGGCCATGACCCACTCACCCTTTCGTATCGCTGGCTGGACGACTCCCGGATGCCACACCATGTCATGGCTCCATTCCAGCTCAGGCGAATGACGTTGTGGCTCAAGCAGGAAGTGGATGTGGTCATCCTGCCAAGATGGATGATCGGGCGGGATGTCGGACCCGGGACGCAAGGTGGGTGGGGGGCTGGCCGGAGCTCTGAGTCTCTCCATCAACTTCATCGGCGTGGTGCCCGGCAGCGGTTTGGCCGACAGTGACACGAGGGCTGCAGCGCTCGGTGAAGGACCGGCCGACAACGACCCTCTGTCGTGGTCCGCCGGAGGTGGGTTGTACTGTAGATCAATGCTCTCTGTGTCGCTCTCCTCCTCCTTCGCGTTGGCGACAAACCCCACACCTCTGGCTTTCTCGTCATCAGTGGAGATCAGGGAAGCGTAACTGGCTAACTTCAACTGCTCCTCAGACTCCACGAAGTACAGCGACTGCAGCCTATCGAGAAACGTCTTCGCGTTCATGCGGGAGGCGAAGTGGTAGTTGTCGAGCAGTGCGAACATGTGGTCCTTCCGGCGGACGTACTTGGCCTCAGAGTCCTTCCTCGACCGCGTTTGAAGGAACAAGAAATCGTATATCTTGTTCCTCTTCCTCTCGCTCAGCTTGAACAACACATCCGTCTTGTTGCTCCACTCCTTATCCCGTGTTGGCTTCACGACCATGAACTCACAATTGTGCCCGCCCGAATTGACCTCGCTTTTCACCACCTGCATCGTGAATTGCAAGAGCTCGACATTCCCTTCCATCGTGACAACGTGCCGGCCGGCCTTAAGAAGATCCCAGACGCTTCGCGCGTGCGGTTTCCCAAGGAACACGACACCCTCTCCCTTCTTGCCAAGGAAATCAAGTAGACCGACGAATTGTGTCGGATTGCGTTCCATATCCCCGTAGACACTGCCTTGTCGTTCCGGTGCCACCAGCGACCAATCGCAAGGCACAAAGGGAATCTCGGACACATCCGTCTGGGTGACCCTCTGAGGCAATCGCACCGTAGCAGTGGCACCCCTGGGCAGGTTTGCCTCGTAGACCACGGACGTGTTGGCGCACAGATCGTCACCCTTGAAGAGGATGTACATGCGGTCTTCCTCCGTGTACAAATTGTTCCCAATGGGGAAACTTTTCTTTTGCTGAACTCTCCTCACCCACTTCCCTTCCAACAGCTTGACGAAAGAAAGATGGTGCATGCTGGCGAGAAACATGAGGTTGTGCTGCCGCGGCACGAAAACAACGAGAGTCCAATGTGACGGACACCACGTCTGAAGATAGGAATCCAATGTCTCCCACGTTCGTTAACGAACGGCGCGATGGATGTCACGTCCCCCGTGTCTTTCCATTTAATGTGAACAATGTCTTCGGCAAGTGCGACCTCCCGGCTCTTCAGTCTGCTCCCATTCAACACGGAGAGAACCTTGTTTCTCCAGTTGACGGACAACTTCTTGTGTCCCACCAACTTCTCCGTCACCTCAATCGAGTTGTCCTGGTCGCAACCCATGTACGGCGGGCAGTCCTTGAACAGCGCCGAGTCTGAAACGTGTTTCCTGCTGTTATCCCACAACTCGGCATCCAATCCCTGACTTTCAAACTTCCTGAACACTGCAGACCTCGATTTCAGGAAAGGGTACCTTTGGATCCAATCCGCGTCCGGCCTCTTCTCGTGTTTGAACTAGTAGTAATTGCACAACCGGACCAGCACGAGGTCGCACTTCACCAGCTGCACCATGTCCTGCATGCTGAGCTTCCCCAACTTCGCCAACGAAGGGGAGCCGACCTGGACCCAAACGACCTCGCAAGCAAGCACCTTCTTTAGAACTCGATACTTCTCATTGTCCCTGAGTGATTCCATTGCTTTCCAACAATGTGTGTACGGGGCGGACACTTGCACGAACCAATCGCCCTCCTCTTTCTCCTTTTTGCCTTTCTTATTCGGTGGGTCCACGGGGACGTTGTACACCACCTCAGTTCTGCCCAACTTGTCGTTGTGGATGTAAGCGACCCCAGGCTTGACGTTTTTTACCTTCTTTTTTTTCACGATCCATTTCGCTCCGTCGTGGCTCAGCAATCTACCCGTCTCCCATTTTTCGAAAAATTCCAAGGCCAGTTTCCAGACATTTTCTTCGGCCATCACGAGAGGGAAATAAGAACGCAGGGCAACATTTTGCTTCTTAAGGGCCTCCTCTTCCTTTTGATCCGCGAGAATCCACAAGCTGTTGTGAGGCGCCTTATGGAGCGCCGTTGTACAAAACTTACGCCAAGCCCGGACCTGATCTTGTTTCCCGCTAGGGTTCCCCATCACAACTCTCGAGCAGCCGTCATGCTTCCACTGCCACTGAATATCTTTCATAGACAGCTTCAACTGTTTGGGAGGTGCCTTCAGGTCCTTCTTATTGTCCTGTGAACTAACAAGAAAATACCCTTCGAAGTCGTCGTCCGAAAAGTAAAGCATTCGCGCCGGCCACTGCTCGAAATTGTACTTCTTGGCCACCTCGCTCCCGAGCAGCGACCGGGCTGCAGCCGCGTTGTGCTGCACGCACACCTCGTAGTGTCCTTCCACTCCTTCGGCTTCAGACGTTGAGCCTTGGTCCCGGGAGTTGGTTTTTGTGCGAGCTTGAAGATCGGCAACTGGTACGTCTGATCTTTATTTTCGAACGCATACTGCATTGCTTCTTTTATCATTCTCACGAGGACAGGATCCAGCGATCGCTGGTTGTAAAGATCCTCCCACACCCCGAGGTCGACGATCTGAGCCGGGCTAATCTCAAACTCCCGCCTTGTCCTGACGCCGTCCTTGTACTCCAGGAAGTACTTGGCGTCCACGTCGATGGCAGGCCTTGTCGTGGAAGGTCCTGACGCAGGTTGTTTCTGTTTTGAAGCCAGACGTTTGCTACCCAGGTGGTCCTCTTCCACCCCCCTTCCCTTCCGTTTTTCTCCCGTAGTCTTCGGGGTGCTCGTCTTCTGTTTCTTCGAAGAGCCTACCACGTCCTCTTGACAATCTCCCCTCCTTTTTTGGGGAGTCCCCTGCGCTCCCTCACCGCCCACGGCCTTGTCGTCCGCGCCATGGCCCTCGCCGGGCTCCAAGTCGGACCCACACTTGACTGCCTCTTCTCCCGGATCTGCTACGACCTCTTGTCGTACCCCAGGTATGGACAGCAAAACAGGTCTCTTTCCCTCGACGCCAGAAACGGCGGACGCAGTGTCGCCTCATCTTCGCTGTCGTCAAACTGACCTCTGGCATCCTCCCGCTACACATATGTAGCCTCACCGGAACCCAGATCCCCCCCTTCCCCCGCTGCCCCACTCGACTCACAACCGCCGCACAGCTGCAAAGGCGTTGACAGTTCCAGGTCGGGGCCGACTTCGCAAGGGACGTCGAGGGCGATGTCCTTCTCATCCAACAAGTCGAAAAACTCAAAACCCAAAACAAACCCGCCCTGCCGCCGGAGGTTGTTGTAGAACGGGGTGTTCGCAGCACCCGCTCCGAACCCCTCGAACAGACACATGTCGAGAACCGCCCCCTTGGCACCGGCGACGACGTTCCCCTTGGAACCGTACACATTTTTCATGTAGAACAACCGACGACTGCCTTTCGCATTCTCCCACCGCAAGACAACCCCCAGAACCCTGCGGCGCTTGTTGGCTTCGACGAAGATTACAGGACCACACGGCTATTGAACTGGGTTCGAAGCATCACCACAGCACCAGTCGAGGAACCATTTCGACCTTGTGTGGTCCGACCACGACCTCGAGGTCATAGACGAACGTTTTGTGGAATCTTTCCCTTATCCCATCCCGGAGGTCGCTGCAGGCTCCCCCTCGCCCCTCGCCAAGACATCTTGTCTGCGGACAACAACGGAAAACAAATGAACCACAAAAGAGCGTCATGTTGCAGACAAAACACAACGCAGGCAAAAAACACGGGCAGCAAACATTGCGGCCAACCGTTCCGGGACCTTGAAGTTCGGATCCCGGCGAACTTTGTACGCGAAGACCTTTAATGACCTCTTACCTGCAACGAGATCAATCTTTAAAAAGGGACACACATCATGCGGTCGGGCGACAACCACATTGGTGTTTCCGAAATACAGATGCCGACCACATGGGGAATGAACGGGAGGTCATGCGCGAAGCTCGCATTGAACGGGGCGGTGTCCTCCGCTAAGCACTGGAAACACGGACAGGCTAGCACACGAAGTCCGCTAGGGTCCCGACTAAAAGACGGTGCGACAGAAAGAGAGAAACAGCCAGCCCATGTAGCCGGCGTTCCAGAACCGGGCTCGAGCGAACATACTTTGCAACTGCATTTGATCAAAACCAGAAGTCGGAGACGGACTCTCCCGGTAGCCGGGCGGGTTGTGCGAACCACCGGACGGGCATGTCCGAAGACAAACCAACGCACCTCCCGAAAAGTGAAGTTCGTCGGGATCCGGACTTCAGGACAATGCGACAGGCAAAGACGGCGTCAGAGACACAAGGTCCGTGCACTCAACCGCGACCTGGAAATGCCACGCAGAAACGAGAGGCCGGTTGAGAAGGAGAAGTTCGCCGAAATCCGGACTTCTTCTGATATGCGTAGCAGCCGTGACAACATTGTATGGGTCCCTGGCGGGACAAAACGACACGTGCAGAACAGGGCGGAGAGGAGCTAATTGGTCGTTCAAACTTTTCGAAGGTCGCGGCCTCAAGCAAGACCGTGGTTGTGGTGCCCGACGGTTCTTGCGGTCTGCCCGATGCCAGCAGTACGAAAGACAAACCAACGCACATCCCAAAAAGCGAAGTTCGCCGGGATCCGAACTTCGCCGCGGCGCGACATGGAAGGAGACGGCGTCAGAGATAGACCTCCAACATGATTTTGGGTGGTTGTTGAAATGTTCGACGATCAAGGATTTGCACGACAAGTGCATGGTGTAGCGTCTACTAGCAATTGTTGCCTCTCACACCTCCCTCCACTGCTACACATCTAATATTGTAGGCAGCAAAACGGCATCTCATACCTCTCCCTTTTTTTCCCTTAAACAGCAGGTCTGACTACCAGTTCAGACGAGCCAACATTCGGGGTTCCCCTGGGACGACGTCGCGAACCGAAGCCATACAAAGCATTCATTGATGATCCGTATACGTGAATCTGTGGTTCGTCGACCGATGCCCTCTCCAAAAAGACGGACATGTATTTCATCCTAACAAACACTCTCGGTCGTGCTAAGGAATTCCCTATACAGTCCCGTATGCCGGACACTTTCTCCTCGACCTCACGATGCAACAAAAAGTTTTGGACCCGCCTTGCTATCACTAAATTGCGCCAACCATCTGGACGCATAGGCCCACTCGTCCGCACGAATTCGGACCCCTCAATCACAACCTCGTTCCGTGACACAAGCACAACTGCATCGACGAGGTTCCTGCTCTTGTTCGAAGCAGCGATACATAGAACTCTGGCGTAATCAGTCCCCAACACAGTCAATCGCACACAACAGTATGACACAGCTTGTGGAGAATTCCCGGGGCACCGGAGCGGGTACTGCTTTAGGAACGAGCAGTGACGAGCGCAGTCCACCAACTCTTGCGTCCGAGACTCTCCCCAAGTTCGTGGCGACGACCTGACGTAGTGGCACTCGAGGCGGCTGAAATGGCGGCTAATGCAGCCAAGTGCTCTGCGCATATGGTTCAGGAACTTGTGTCCGAGGACAGCGTCAGACACCGGGATGAGGTTCCCGAACTCCAACATGTTGGCGAACTTGTACTGGCTCGCCCATGGACAACGACTCTCCATCGTGGCCCAATTCCCATCGCACCACTCGTCAATATGCAGTCTCATGCACGGGACGACGGTCATCCAGGGGTCCTCGTCGAAGTCCTCTACGGTTGCTCCGTGGATCGTAGTCACACCGTTAAAATACCGCACGGATCTCGCGCAAGGACGAATTGGTTCTGCCATGCGAATGTGTGTCTCGGGACTCATCATCTGTGGTGTCAAGAACATCGACTCCATGATTCGTCGTGTCAAGAAGGTCGCCTCCATTACGCACCCTACACACCACGCGCACATACCAAACGAGACACACAGGCATGGAGACACTCGTAAACACGTCGTGTTCCGCGATCTGCGAGCTATGGCATTAAACGGAGCGCACGCTAGAAGATCTGAATCCGGGTGGTCGACTTGGTTGGTGTTCACTTCTACCGGCCAGTGGGCCAGCCGCAAACATGTCCCACGAGAGGCGGGAACGTCATGTCCGGCGTGATCCGAACTTCGCGAGACTGCGCGGGAGAGACAAAGGTGTCTCTAAAACTCGCCGTCTTGAACTTTTTTGAAGTTCGGATCTCGGCGGACATGACATTTTCACTTATCCAAAGTTGTGGCAATCCACCAGGCGCTAGAAACTCCATAGTCTGAACCCACACCACCAGGGATTTGAAGCACGCCTTTGTCCGAACTTAACGGCCGCACGACGAACAGTGCACGAGAAGTTCGGATCTTAGCGGACTTCGCATTTTATCGAATCCGAAGTCCGCCCGGGTTCGAAATTGACGAGTGTCCAAGGAACCGTGCACGGAAGGTTCGGATCCACAGCCCAGCAGGCGAGCCGGAAACATGAATCGTGAAAGGACAAAATCTCAAGTTCGCTGATATCCCAGCGGACTTCAAGTGTTTAAGAGTCCGAGGTTATGGCGATCCCCCCCCAGGCGCCCAAGTCCGCACTCTTAACCCAAACAATGCTAAAAGCGAAGTTCGCCGGGATCCGAACTTGACGTGTGTGCGAGGGAACGTGCAGGAAAAGTCCGGATCTCAGCGGACTTCGCATTTTCACCAAACCGAAGTTCACCGAGGTCCGGACTTGACGACTGTACCAGGGACCTTGCAAGCGAGGTTCGGATCCAGAACCCTGCAGGCGGGCCGCAAACCTGTCTTCCGAAAGGCGGGAACATGAAGTTCGCCAGGATCCGAACTTGGCGAAATTGCGTGGGAGAGAAACACCTCTTTGCGAAACTCACCGTCCGACAATTTCTTGAAGTTCGGATCCCGGCGAACTTCGAATTCCTGCACATCCTCGGTTGTGGTTGTGGGGCGGGGTTGCGAAACGTGTTCGAAAAGGTGCACAAGCTCGTCGGAATGGGAACTTCTTCCGGTGTTCGATTGCACGATCAGTTCAGTTTGATTGCTCGATCAGTTCGCCAAAGTTCGACGTCCGACGAGGTTCGACGCCCGCCGAGGTTTGATGTGAAGCCAGGTTACATGCCCAACATAGTTCGATGTTATACAAGGTTCGATGACCAACAACATTGTGTGATCCGTTCGCGGGCACATGATTAATTGCCTTGTGGATTCTCCACGACGAATGGATTTGTCGCAGATCGGTCGCTCGATGCCGCTGCTTCCAACATCTGCAGATTGATGATCTGGTCGGTGAGCGACCGGTCTATCGAACTTGTTGGTAGTCTTCGACATAACACTCGATTGGTCAGGAGATCTGCCAGGATCAGCTGTTTGATTGGGTGCTCGGTTGGCGGTTGGTGTGCTGATAGATCAACCACTCGAACAACCGCCAACAGAGCACCCGATCAAACAAGTTATCGTGGCAGATCTCCTGACCAATCAACTCTTGTTTCGCCGACGGGTTGATTGTGCACGTGCACACGCAGACGCACAGACGCACGCACACGCACATCGCCTGTAGGAACACATAACAGGTCACGGTGCTAAAACAGCACTCGCACGGACACGCACACACACACAAACACGCACATCGCCGAGGTTTTGATGTTGCCATTGACACAAGCCAAACACACATGCGGTGGCAACGTCGGGACAGCCAACACGATCAATCGACCGATCGCGAGTAATCTGTTAGCGTTCCACGATCGGCCGGATGGATGCGTTTGCGATCCCGATGTTGTCTCCTCGTGCACTGATTAATCATCCGTTAGGCGGGTCAGAGGCGATATTGTTGCGACAGCAATGAGCATCAATCACCCGATAGCGAGTGTTCGGCTTATGTTTCGTGATGGGTCGGTTCATCGAGTGTACGTTGTAGACATTGTCACCACATGTTCGCGCAGAGATTTCTCTGCTGGTCGGTTGAATCGATCACGATTGACCTGATCGTGTTTCGCGATTGGTCGACGGATGCGTTCGCTGTGTCGACATTGCCACCGCCTGTTTTGATCGATCATCCATTGGGCAGAACGGCGGATATGACAGTGGGACAACACAAAGGATCACATCGACTGTGGCAAGTGCTCAAGATGTGATTGTGTTTCGTGATTGGCCACCACGTGTTCGATAAGACCTTTCGTGATTCGCCAGACAAGCACACGATTCTCCATGCGTTCAATGTGCGCAATCACACACACGCGCGCAAAAATGACGTGGAAACACCTTCGCACACATCTCCGCGCGTTAAATGTGCCCAATCACACACACACGCGCACAAATATGCACAGACAGGCACACGCACACACACAAACATACGCGCCCGCACACGCCGCCCACACACACACACGCCTCTCAGATCCTGACACGCGCACGATCCTTCCTCGCGTGTGTGGCATACATGTCATACAACCACACACACAATAAAACACGCCCTCGAATACACTAACACAAAAACAATCACACAGACACACACGCGCATGCACAAACACACACTAGCACACACACACACATACACACACATCCACCCGCACACATGCAAACACGAACTCTTTCAATCTTCGCGAGCATATCAACAGAAAACCCACCCTCACTCGCATACAAACACACACACGTCCCGGCTGCGGCCGCACTCACCATGTGATACTGTCGAGTGGAGATTCGTGTGATCCGTGCCGTCAATCGAGACAGCAATCTGTCGACCTTTTGGCTTGTGCTTTTTGTTCGCGAGTGTGCTGCGTGGAGTGCTTTGTGTTTGCGAGGGCAGCGCGTGGAGTGGTGGGCGCCGGAAAGTATCGACACGCGACGTCGAATATGACGTGGACAGCGACTTCGAAGGTGGAGGGAGATGCGAGGGCATGCGGGGTGCGTAAGTGCCGAGAAACAAGCGAGGTGAGGAATGTGTGCCCCTGCTCTTTGCTAGCTATGGCGCTCCAACTGTGCGGGGTGGTGTTGTTGATGACAGTGGCGGTGCGAGGCTTCCGTCGGGCAGCATCTCCCCTGCAAAAACGCAGAGCGCAACGTTAATGCCCTGGGCGCCGCTCGTATATGTAGGCGCGCGGGACTCGAGGCCCCCTCGGGCCTTCCGTTTCGGAAAATCGCGCAGGGACCGTACGCCACCGCACGACTGTTCGATCCTCGCATCGAATGGTGGCTCCGCGTCGAAATTTCCCCGATGGGGACCCGGTGAGCACGACATGACAAAAAAGTCCCTGTGGGCCAGCCCTTCCCGGGCATCATTAAAAAATAGAGCCCTTTTTCCTGGCCGCTCGCGTTCGTGTCGTCGGGTTCGCGGGCCCCGCGCGAGGGGGTCTCAGGCAGCGTGGGGGGGCAGCTTGTATTTTCCAGTCCGTTGGGGCCCTTGGGGGGGCGGGGAGGGGGGGACGGCGGGGGGCCGCAGGAGGGGAGGTTGGAGGGGTTCGCGGGCATTCGCGTCTCCTGCCAGGCGAGCGGGGTCCGAGGCCATGCGGGGGGACACAGGCGGGTCTTTCCATGGGGTGCGACGACAATTCGGGGCTCCGCTGCCTGGGGTTTGGTGTAGCGCATTCGCATCTCCAGCCGTGACGAGCGCATTCGCGCGCGACGTTCTTTCGGCGACCTCCTCCATCGCCTTTGCTGCTCCGCTGTTGCGCCACGTGTATGCGGGCGTCCCTCTTGTTGCCAACTCTTTCCCGTCCTTCTGCCCGCTGCTGGGGTCCCCTTGTCGAATAGTCGCGCCATCGTGCGCGCTTCACCATCGTCAAAGAATTGCGCGTCGTCCAAGACTTGTGCCCCGTCAGAGAGCTGCGCCATCGTGTGCGATGTGCCCTCGTTAAGGTAAAGTGGTTTTTTGCCTGCCCGCGTGTCAGTCGTCGCACATGCTTGCCGGCGCATGGGAGCAACTGCATCGCGCCACGGGACGCAACTCGCGGAGACGGCGGGAACGGATGTCGATGACATTGGGGCACATGGTTTCTGTATGCCCTTTTGCTTCCCACTCGTTCGTTCCTCGCGAGCGGCCCCTTCACTCTTGCTTGCCATCATCATCATCATCACCATCATCATCTTCATCATCGTCCTCCAATCCATTTATGATTTATATAACTTTGACATATTTCTTTTGCCATTTTCTGAATTATTTTGATTGTTTTGTGGATTAGTATTTACAAATAATCATCAACGTCATTTTCTGAATTATTTGATTGTTTTGTGGATTAGTATTTACAAATGATCATCAACATCATCATCATCATCATCATCATCATCATCATCATCATCGTTGTCATCATCATCAACACCATCATCATCATCATGATCATCATCATCCTCATCATCATCAACGACATCATCAACACTATCATCATCATCATCACCGACATCGTCGTAGTCATCAACAACGCCACCGTCCTCGTCATCATCATCATCATCATCATCATCATCATCATCATCATCATCATCATCATCTGCATCTGCATCGCAATCAGCATCAGCATCATCTTCATCAACACCCTGATGATCATCATGTCATCATCATCATCGTCTGCGTCGCAATCAGCATTATTATCATCTTCATCAACACCCTGATGATCATCATGTCGTGGCACGTGTCGCAAGTGGCGGGAACGAAGGGAACGGATGACGAAGACATTGGGGCACACGGTTGCTGTGTTCCCTTCTGCTTCCCTCTCGCTCGTTCCACGCGATCGCCCCTGTGATTCCTGCTTCGATTGGCGATGGGCCAGATGGTTTATGTATTTCCTTCTCTTCGCACTCCTTCGTTCCTCGCGAAAGGCCCCATGATTCCTGCTTCGCTTGGCATTGAAGACGAGCCAACTGAACATTGCAAAACACTCCCACGTGGTTGCCATACTGAACATTGCAAAACACTCCCGCGTGGTTGAGGCAAACACGAAATCGCCTTTTTCCAGCAGAACACGAGATCCCGTCGACAAAAGTTCCTCGCACATTTACTTTTCTCGACAAACAGTTCAGACGTTGTTTAACAAAAAGGACATGCATTGGACTGCAAATCCACGAGTGATGGTTCGAATCCTTCGCAGGGCAAACAGTGGTAGCGGCGGGTGTGCTGAACGACCAGCGGGCGCCACAAGGGCTGCGCGCGACCAGGGTTGGAATTAAGCATCGCGCGGTGGCCACCGTGCAAACGATGAAAATGGTGTTCATCAACAGGAGGGGGTCGCCGTTCCGTTTTCATGTTCTCGTCACAACACTTGTGCCTCCCTCCCCGGAGAGACTACTGCGTTAATCCCGGGGGAGCTCGTGTCGTGTCCATCCTGCGCACACAACGTGCACATGATCCACCATAGAGGCCACGGATGTTGAGCGCGCGTACCTGGCACAGGTAACGAGGGACGCGACAGCAAATTGCGTACAACAAACGCCAGTGTTGTGCGCCCAACATCCGCGGGGTCCAGGACGAAGAATGCACACGTTGCGAGTGCGCGATGGAGAACGACAACACCGCTAGCTGCGATGACAATGCCGTTTCTTTGGCGTGAGCGCCGCATGTTTCGTGACGAGAACCTCAACATGCAAAAACGACCTCGTTCAATAACGAACAACCCGGCCGCCTCCGGGACACGTCTTATTCGTCAGGGAACGATGGGTCGCCATTGTGACTGCAGGCGCGAAACCAACATCCGCCAAACATAAAAAGGCGAGTCGCGTGTCGTTGCCTAGTGAGATGGGAAGTTCGGATACCGGCGAACTGCAACAATCATGCGTAATGCTGTCACGGAAGTGGCATTGTGTTGTCGTCGCGCAGCCGTTGGGAGAGTACTCGCCTCTGAGAAAACAGCGCATGATTGCTGTAGTTCGCCGGCATCCGAAGTTTCATTTTCGCCAGGTTTTCACACGCGACTCAACGTTTTTGGTTTCGCGTTCGCAGTCACAATGCCGTTCTCGGTTGCCCTGGTGACCATCTTTTGCGAGAAATTTTCCAGCTTCAGGGCGTGGGGCCGATAGTTGAGAACGCCCTACCAGTTGTCACCGTGCGAGGGCTACAACACGAAGTTCGGATCCCGGCGGACTTGCGATCTGAAGCATGCGAAGTCGTGATCTGCTCGGATGGTCATTGTTGTTTCGACCGCATCGCTGAAATCACACGCTTGCTGTTTGCATGGATCTTAACGGAGTCCTGGGTACATGAATGTTCTTTGGGTGGCGTTCCCGCAGAAAAAAAAAGTCCTGTCACTGGGACCCCAGCAAAAACAAAGTGTGTCATGCACCCGGTCGACACGTGGCAACAGATGTCAAGTTCGGATCCCTGAGGACTTCGGGGTTGGCACCCGTTAGTGGTCCGTAAGTGGAACCGAGGGCAAGTTCGGATCTCGCTGGACTTCGAGGTTGGATTAGAATCTAACCGGCCATTTCTGACGGCCTGACCTTTCGCATGTGTTTCGTTCGTCATAGAGGTTTGGGTGCGCAAAAGTGCCAGCCGTTCCAATTGCCTCGTTGGGGTTTGAGGCGGTTGCCGACGGTGGTGTCGTCATTGGCATGCGTGCAATCTGGCCACCGACATTCCCGTGTCTTCGCGCGCATGGCGGTTCGCGCTATCATATGTCGACGTTGGCAGAGAGCGAGTCGGGCCTCGCCTTCTCGACTGGACGAATCGTCGTTAGATGGGGTTGCAGGGGGGGCCACCAGCCATGGTGATTTCTTTTGGTGGGTCCAGTCATTGTCATCACGGATCACAACATTTGTGACTGCATCGCCGCACAAGCTCGCTTTGTCGGTGGGAGAATCGGCGTCTATGGGGGTCTATCGTGGGCCGCGCTGCGCCGATTTCTGACGTGGTGCACCTACGACTACCATTTCTGTTGTATTTCTGTTGTGCGTGCTCTCGTCGAACAGACACTTGCGAACAGCAACAGGGCCTCCCTGACCAGGCACACATGCATAGCGTTCCTTCTGTGCACTTCAACACCCATCCTCGACATAACCGACATCCCCCGCACAAACCGGTTCCTCGCCAGTCCATCAAACGCCAAGTTCGGATCCCGGCGGACTTTGAGGTCCCGCGAAAAATTCAACCGCCAAGTTCGGATCCCGGCGAACTTTGAGGCTCCGCGTGAATCTGACCGTTGTTTTCAGCAGCTTCGACTTCCCCATCCGTCTTCAATGCCGGCGGCCTGGTGGTGCGCAAAAGTGCTCGCCTTGTGATTGGGCCTAAAAGGGGTTCATTGGGGTTTACGACGGTGTCGGTGGCCGGGTCGGTTTCCTGTGTGCCGTCCAATAAAAACCATTCTCAATTTTTCATGTCTGCGCTGTGTGCATGTCCAAGTTCGACAACCTCCTGTGGTAGTACATCTGATTACATCATTACACGGTGTTGATAGTCAGTGTCTATAGGGGTCACTTTGGGGTCGCGCTGCGCCGAATTGAGTGGTCGTGCATCCACCGTTACCCTTTCTTCTGCACGTGCTATCGTACAACGAAAACTTCAGAGCGGCAGAGCCTTCCTTCTGTGCACCCGTTGGCGCTCCCTTCCACTGGCATCGGTCGCGCAATAACAGGTTCCTGGCTGCTCCAGCTCCCGCCAAATTCGGATCCCGGCGGACTTTGAGGCTCCGCGTAAAGCGGACCGTTGTTTTCGACAGCTTCGACTTCCCCGTCCGTCTTCAATGCCGGCGGCCTGGTAGTGAGCAAAAGTGCTCCCTTTCGAATTTGCCCAAAAAGGGGTTTATTGGGGTTGTCGACGGTGTCATTGGCCGGGTCCTTTTCCTGTATGCCGTCGATCTTCGTTGCCCTCCAATAAAAGCAGTTCTGAATTTTTCGTACCCGCGTAGTGTACATGTCCGAGTTCGAAAACCTCTTGTGCTAGTGCATTTGATTAGAGGGTGGTGAGAATCGGTGTTTATAGGGGTCAGTTTGGGGTCGCGATGCGCCAAATTGTGCAGTGGTGGATCCACCATTACCCTTTGTTCTGTGCGTGGTATCGTACAACGAAAACTTGAGAGCGGCAGAGTCTTCCTTGTGTGCGCCCAGACATAGCGTTCCTTATGTGCACCCGCTGGCGCTCCCTTCCACTGGCACCAGCCGCGCGAAAACAGGTTCCTCGCTACTCCAGCACCCGCCAAATTCGGATCCCGACGGACTTTGAGGCTCCGCGTAAATCTGACCGTTATTTTCAACAGCTTCGACTTCCCCGTCCGTCTTCAATGTCGGCGGCCTGGTAGTGTGTAAAACTGCTCGCCTTTGAAATTGTTGTAAAAGGGGTTTATTGGGGTTGGCGACGGTGTCAGTGGCCGGGTCCATTTTCTGTGTGTCGTCGATCTCCGTTGCCTTCCAACAAAAGTCATTCTAATTGACTCGTGTCTGCGCAGTGTACATGTCCGACTTCGACAACCTCTTGTGCTAGGACATCTGATTACACGGTGGTGAGAATCGGTGTTTATAGAGGTCAGTTTGGGGTCGCGATGCGCCGAATTGTGTGGTGGTGCATCCACAATTATCCTTTGTTCTGCGCGTGCCGTCGTACAACGAAAACTTGAGAGCGGCAGAGCCTTCCTTGTGTGCGCCCAGACATAGCGTTCCTTATGTGCACCCGCTGACGCTCCCTTCCACTGGCACCGGCCGCGCGAAAACAGGTTCCTGGCTACTCAAGCACCCGCCAAATTCGGATCCAGGCGAACGTTGAGGCTCTGTGTAAATCTTACCGTTATTTTCAACAACTTCGACTTCCCCGTCCGTCTTCTATGATGGCGGCCTGTTAGTGCGCAAAACTGCTCGCCTTGTGAATTGCCCTAAAAGGGGTTTATTGGGGTTGACGACATTGTCAGTGGTCGGGTCCATTTCCTGTATAGTAGTGTATACCGTCGATCTTCGTTGCCTTCCAATTAAAGTCATTCTAATTGATTCGTGTCTGCGCAGTGTACATGTCCAACTTCGACAACCTCTTGTGCTAGTACATCTGATTACACGGTGGCGAGAATCGGTGTTTATAGGGGTCAGTTTTGGGGTCGCGATGCGCCGAATTGTGTGGTGGCGCATCCACCATTACCCTTTGTTCTACGCGTGCTATCGTGCAACGAAAACTTGAGAGCGGCAGAGCCTTCCTTGTGTGCGCCCAGACATAGCGTTCCTTATGTGCACCCGTTGGCGCTCCCTTCCACTGGCACCGGCCGCGCGAAAACAGGTTCCTGGCTACTCGAGCTCCCGCCAAATTCGGATCCCGGCGAACTTAGACGCTCCGCGTAAATCTGACCATTATTTTCAACAGCTTCGACTTCCCTTTCCGTCTTCTATGACGGCAGCGTGGTAGTGCGCAAAAATGCTCGCCTTGTAAATTGCCCTAAAAGGGGTTTATTGGGGTTGACGACGATGTCAGTGGCCGGGTACATTTCCTGTATGCTGTCTACCTTCGTCGCCCTCCAATAAAAGCCAACATCGCGATAAGTGTGGTTTAGTCGCTGTCATGCTTCTTCCACGGCGTGCTTTGCGGTTCGCGCAGTCGGGTGTCGACATTACGAAGACGCTTCGGCATCGAAGCCGCGCGTGCTGCGAAGGCTTTCAGTCCCAGCGCACAACCTTCGAATCGACGGGCATTTAATCGGGGTTTGCAGGGGTCGGCTTAGGGTCATTGAACCATGTTTTTTTTTTGTCTCCTGCCTGTCATAGCCTTGCATTCGTTATGACGGTTGGCCGACAGTGAGTTCACGGCGACCCGTTGATAACCGGTTAGCCATCGATTCCATTTCTGCGAAGTTCGGATCCCGACGAACTTCTGTCCGCGAGTGTTCGACCGTCCATTGCGCACGTCTAACTACTAATAGGACACGTCCTACTGGGCGCAACATACAAACAAAAATGTGTCGACAAATCAACAACATAGATTCACGCCTGGCCGGTGGAGTGTCCGGCCCATAACCAAATATCACCGACCACATGCAGGCAGCGTGAGGTAGACATCTATTAATGTGGGCCGCATTACAGGCTTCCTCATAAACACTGGCCATGCATGAGTTCGCGAACTGTCGAAGCGATGGCATGTTATATGCTGTCCATACTCGCCTGGCCCTCGGCGTTGACGAAGGTCTCATTCGACACTCAAGTGTCGGCTGACACGCGCCTTGAGGGACTTGCCTCTTGACGCTAAACAACCGCCAAGACGGTTGCGTTACCTACCCTCTTCAGCTACCAGCGGGAGCGACGGGTAGGGGGGCCAAGGTCCTTTGTGGCAGCTGAGTTCCATCTGCGGAGGCCTTTAAAAACGTCAAGGGTTTTGACTTTGACAGCTGCTACGGACTTCAACGTCCAACTACAAAAGTATAAAAAGCAAAAGGGGGAAGGGTGTCTCCGTTCTCTAT